TTTTTTTTAAGGCAACACCTGAGGTTGTTCCATAGACATATACGCAATACGCTGGAATCGCCAGAGGAATGTTTTCGTCAAATGTTTAGATCGGACGACGAAACTGCGCAAAGTCTTCTCACACATTTGTTGCATTTTCTGGAAAACGGTTCAAGGACTATCAATTGTATGATTCTTTACCTGTTTGCTTTTCCTGTCACAAGGAAGTTACCAGAAACCACCTGCACAAAGCAATGTTAGCAATGTTAGATTCATGAGGTGGTAGATGCACTTGTGGATAATTTCACGAATATGTATATTTGATTCTCTCGGAATCCTGAAGAAACAACCGTTGTAACAGATATGAGTTTTCTACAAAATATCGCATTTCAGGAATAGCTGGTTGTGTCGACAAATCACGTCAAAATTTTTACACCATCGCTTTTTCAATGTGGTCACCCTGCTGTCGTCTTCATGAACAGAAATAATTTTCATAGCATCAATTGTTAGCTAATTTTTGATGTAAATTTGAAGATCCTTGCCACAAATGCACCTTATCCAAGTAGTGTGGAACGAAGTTGTAGTCGTTAGGTGGATAACGACAATGAAAGCTAACGACTTTGTTACAGAATAGCTTTTTCTAAAATTGTCGTTACCAGGTCAGTCGTTACGACAACGATATCGTTATGTAACGACAAGTTACAGAATAGGCCTCTTAGTTTAGTAATTATCTCAATATGGTTTCCCAAGAACTCATAAGCCATCCATTCAACATTGTTTGCATTGAAGCTAAAAGTACAGTGCTTAATAGTAGAAAGCTATACCTACCTAAAATAATCGACTAACCGAAATAATTTTCTATATAGTACCTCCCCATACGCTCTACATTCACATATTTCCTTCCTTTTTCTACCATAATTATTAAAAAAGCCATTTTACAACGCCTTTTCAATCGAAGCACCAAGTTACTCTCGATAAGCTTTTCAAAAACTACACCAAACACTCCCAAATGGAGGAAATACTAGACAACATTAGTAATTTCTAAATTTCTGCAGTATTAATGAGTATTTATGTCGAGTAAATGCTATACTTTTTTGAAGTGAAAATTAAAAAATGGATCATTTACTTGAAGTAGAAGCAAATACTATTTTCAATCGTACCGCCCAATGTGTGGATAAATCAAGTAAGTGTGATTTTTTGTGTGTTTATTTTGACATATTCCATACATTAAAATCTCAAAATTGTGATTTGCTGGATATTAACTTTTAATTTATTAAATTATTAATTTCCAATTTTTTAAAATTTTCAGACGGTGCCACTGGGTATTTTCCAAATGGATACCTATTATTTTTATTTCGCAATATTGCAGGTTAATTACTAGTATACTTATACCTACCCAAACAAAAATTCAAAAAAAGTTCACACTTACTTGATTTATCCACACATTGTAGTCCTTATTTCAAGTAGGTACATCCAGATTAAACATAAAAATGTCTCTAATAGTAACGGTATTTTTCAACCGATTTTTGATTTTAAAAAACTGTTTGATATACAGGGTGTCATTTGAAATAAGAAAATGTTTTTCACTTCCGGTTGAACCGGAAGTAACATAATAAGAGCAGAGCGTGCTGAGCCGAGCCGTAATCACGTGACCAGCGAGTGAACAGAGCAGTTGAATGCTGTGTCAAAGTGCCCGAAAACACGAATGAGCCTGCCCGAGTACACTTTTTAGATAAACGAACGGTTAATTCAAGCTCGGAGAACTCAGATCAAAATACCGAACGTACAATTAGGCCCAAAAAATGCATGCTATATCACTATACACCATACCGAATTTCAAATTTATATCTCAAAAAATAAATAAAAAATATGCGTGGACCTAGTTTCCGTTGAATACAGAGTGAGAGTATTTAACGGATATCCTTGTCTTTGTCTAATTTGGTAATAGAAGACAGTGATACAACCTAATCCGCAGTAATCTAAACGCTTCACCGACAATGGGATACAAACACAACAGATGTTACGAGTTTCGACCAATGAACTTTCGACTCAACGACTCCTCAAGAGCTAGACAGAGATAGATATATCGATTCACCTCGGACACCAGATAAAAATGTTCTAAGTTTTCATTTCGTACGAAGACGAAGCGTTCGTAGTACAATTTTAATTCGACGCAGTCATGTTTTGGAATGAAGTAGATACTAATGAGAAATTCAGCATTCCCGCATTTTTATTGATTTTGGGAACTTTGACGCAATAGTCCTGTTTGCTCGCGTTTTCGCAGCAATTTAAAAATTCGATTTTCAAATAATTTTATTTTCAAAAATAAGCGTTATTTTTTTTGAAAAAATTATACAGAGGTGTAAGAATCACAGGCTGGGTTCTTATCTTTTTTCACGTGTCAATAAATCACGTGACATCTGTCAAATTTTGCTCATTTTGCTCGCAGATGTGATTACCGAACTTAGCCACAAACAGAATAATTTAAACATGTTTTTGAAAAATGTGAAAGTGGCCCATTCCCTATTCCCATTTTAGGGTGACCCATTTTCGATGTTTTAATGGGCTATATCGAAAACCTCTGGGAGCACATTATCGAGCTCTTTTATTGAGAAAATAACAATGGCGATGACAAATGACGGGTAACTTGATGCGTTCAGGAAATAAAAGGCAATTTTTAAATTTTGTCCAATTTCTCACAATTCTTCTCATTTCTTTATTAATTAAGAATAACGAAAACAAAAAATACTTTCTGTAGGCAGTTTTTCAAGAAGAATCCAGTGGCATGACCACTCTCTCTAGCCGCAAAATTGTCGAAGATATCAAAATGCGGTTTGCACTCATATTCTTGGTTTGCATAGTTTGCACCAATCAAAATTTCATGATTTGAGTCTCAGAGTGGGGGGGGCGGTAAACTTTTCTGTATCTCGCTCAGAAATTGACGTTTGTGTTCAAATTCGACCACACTGCCCACTGAACATGCAATGTTACGAAAGCCTAATGCAATATTACTCTGATCTTAGTTTCGCAACATTCCAATGTAATATTGAATTATTTTTGACACAATATTACATTAATAAATTACAAAATGGAATATCCTTGAAATTTTAACGCATATTAGAAATTATAACTTGTACGCAAATTACCATTGTAAATATACATTTAAATTGAACTGGTATAATTTTTGCAATGTTATAATAACTACCAAATGTAAACTTGCTGCAATATAGCAGAAATAATATATTGGAAAATCGAAAGCTTTTGCCGCCATTAATAACGATAGGAACGACATCGGGGATACGAACTAAACCGAAAGCAAATCGACGCCATCAAGTCGCTGCTTGTCGTTTGAGTTGAGTGCTGTGTCTGCTTGTTGAATGTTGTGTCTGTGATAAAGCGAATCTCGGCTAAATTTTTGGTGTTTATGTTTGGATTATGTACTTATTGGATCGATTCAGGTAGTGCTTTGCTTTTTGGTTATTTTTATTATTCAGTTTTTATTTTAGAACTTAGAACCTGTGGAAATGAAATAAATATACAGCGATTACAATGGATGAGGATTCAAATAAGGTGAGTAAAGGTTGCATAGTCAAATACTTTTTACAAAAATACTGCGGAATGGGGGGCCCCTTTTTTGTAAACCGTAACCTCTTTTTTTTCATACCTACAAATCCCGTATCATTATTATATTACTTATGATTTTACGATAATATTTTAGTTAGAATCAAAAATATCGTAAACCGTTTGGTAAGTAATGTCCAGAAAGAAAGTGGCTACGACGGGGAATAAATAATAAAAATACAGAACTACTCCCTGATTTTGTTTTTGTTTCAGGTGACAATATAAGTATCAGCTGTGGTAGCAGCCAGTACCTACTTCGTCCTGTGTGTCAACCAATCTAAAATTTCGCTTTTTTTTTCTGTTTAGAATTTTCATTTATTTTGCTTTGAGATATTAAGTACTTTTTACGTTTTGTTTTTCACCTAAGTATATTTTTTTATTGTGAGTATTATAGATATACATAATATACCAACCTTTTTATTTTTTTTTCCAAAAACTTGTACTTTTATTCATAATAAAATATCTACCTAATATGATTATAGGTTTCAGGCACAAATTTTAACAGCTTGTTTTTAGAACAAGCTGTTAGAGTTTATGCACCGCAACTCAAATCTCTCTGTATAGGTACATACATAGTATTTACAGTTGCAACATTACTATTTTATTGCAGTAAAATTGCGAACCCAATATATTTGTAATAAAAATGCAATATTGCAGTAAACTTACTAATAAATTGCAAGTAACCCTAAGGTATATTCGAATTTGTAACCTTACACTCGTAAGTTTGCTGAAGTTTTGATCTAATATTCCAGTAATATTGCTGAGAGGTTATCATATATAAACCTTGCATTTGTAATATTACCCTAAGGTTGTTTCAGTACTTGCCGCAATACTGCGTTAACATTACAGTAAACTTTAATATAACCTTACAAGTTTACAGTGTAATGTTACCTCACCATTACTGTAATCTTATTTTGTTCAGTGGGTGTACATTTCTAATGTTTTGCGATTCTAAAGCCAAAATGTTGAAAAAGAAGACAAAGCCCCATAGTCTGTCATGTCAGTAATAAAAAATAAATAATAAAAAAGTGTGTCGTCATATAAGTTGTATTTTCTGTGTCAATTTTGATTTAATATTACGTTGTTCAAAGCTAGAAATAGTTAAATTTTAATAGACTGCAATTAATAATAATTCTAAGATGAAGAACGTACTTTTAACACTCTCCCTGTATTGTATTCGAAATGCGCGGTCGGTAAACCGAAAACCGAACACTTCGGACTCTCGGACACGGTTCGCGTTCCGTTCACCCAAACGCTTTTCTCGCTCCTTCTGCCAGGGGCACAAAAGTAACATTTTCACGGTCAGGGGCGTGGAAACGTAAGGGGAAAAAAACGAATGGCCGATGGCCTACTACACATGCCCGCCATTATTGTGACGCCACGCTATAGACGACAGCAGACGCGCACTCGTGTTCGGAGAGCTGTGACTCGGTGACGACCGCCCAGAAATTTTGACGTGGCTACTACGTATTACCCAGTTTACCCACTCCGATTGCAGCAAACTTGGTGACGAGGAATACGTAAGTGGTAAGTGCCCAGCTGAAGAATAATAACAAACTGACACAACGGTCCTGGCCTGGCCACCCTTTTCGCCTAGTTCTACGCTATTAAATTTCGCAAGTGCCCAGTGATTCGTTTCGAAATGCTGACAAGTTGTTTTACCACTTTTCTCGAAAAGGTAGTGAATAATATGGCGTCATCGGTTTTAAATTTAGCTGTGCGATCCTATACTTTTAACTTCGAACGTTGTCAACTGAAACCCTTGACAACCGATGCTATAAAAAGATATTCTAATGCCGACTGGCTACAGGATTCTTTGTGAAAACATTCAAAAGTGTTTGTGATTTTGGAATATTTGCACCCTCCCTGTCTGAAAATGTGTGGTTATGTTGATTACAAACTACAAACATGCAACAATTTTTCATCATTTGCATTTGTCACTGTAAACATTTAGGTACGTCATCCCATAAATACATGTTTTTTTAAAAAAAAAATATGTACTTTAGTCAATTGCTTTCTGATTGCCCCCAGAACTCACAAGGATTTAATTATCAGCAATGTTCTTGTATTATGCAGAACTGCATTATTCTTTTCTGATTGTACTGGCCTTGTTCTAGTTGCAATTCCTCTACAATACAATGGCTATATTATTATTTAGAGTAATGTTAATGTTCTACATTGAATTGTAATATACAAAATCAGTTCATCACACCAGTGAGTGTGTTTCAAATTTATACCTATTATAAATAAAATTATTTTTATAGTGACCAGCACAATACAGCTTTTGAATAATTTGGATTAGTCAATGCTAACATTTTGAGAGAATTGATGACAATTATACCAATAGGTATATCATTAATTTTTGGAAATTGCTTCAAAATATTGTCACAAAAAAATACATTATAATTAAATAACCTATTAAAATGTTCTTTCAGTAAATCCAAGAAACCTGACAAAAATAAATATTTTATTTAATATTTGCCTCAATCTCAAATTAATAATATGCTTTTTTGTCAGAAACTCAGTAATAAGTACCTACACAAAAGTCTCATTGACAAAGCTAGTATAAAACCAGTAGCTGAAAAATCATTATTAAGGGTATTCAGTAAATTAAACCTAAACTGACTTAAATGGATCATAAAATTAAAAAAATTAAAAATAAATAGACATCAATATACTTATAGGTATGTGAAAAAAGTTTAAAATGTAAAACATAATCAAGGTAAAGTACCCAATTGTTGACATGTTAAGGGTTTCCTTGCTTATGATCGCTACACATTTTCCAAATTTTCAATTCCAAGGCTTTGAAATATTTTTTGGCATGATTTCAAACACATAATTGAATGTTTGAATATATTATTTACCCTATATTCTTATTATTTGTGTTATGACAAAAATATCTGAAAGGTGATAAAAACCCAATAGTTGACACCTGAAAAAGTTCACTTTGCCAAAAGTTGACACATTTTTAGTCTAAAGGTTGCCTTATATTTTTTTACAAAACCAAATTTTTACTTTTAAGTAATTTTATCAGGGTCTGTAGAACTAAGAAGTGTAATTTTTTTAATGAAATATATACACAAAATGACGATTTTTTTTTAAAATACATGTAGTGGTTCCAATTACTTGACACTCTTGAAACCAATAGTTGAAATGTTGCCTGTATCAGTAGAAACCCTGGTAGAAACATCACATACATGAAATACAATAAATAAAAAGTAACATTGGGAAACTTTTTGTTGAGAAAAAAAATACAAATTTCAATTCCAAATTTTTAATAAAATGAATGGCTTAGAAAAGATTGTTACATTGTGTTTTTTGCTGATGTAGCTACAGACAGGAAGCCCTCTATCACAATCATCCAACACTGCAATCATGTCTTCAGCACTTTTCATTTCTTAGAAGCCATTTCTTGATTAAAGCTGAAAGGACCAATTGTTGACACTCTAAAGCTGACACACAAAAACTTCACACAGAATTCATTTCTCATTCCATTCAGAAGTTACTAGAAACCTTTTAAATGCTACAGAACACTTTAGAACTTTAAAAGGCCCTTTGGAAAGTTCAAAACACTTAAAATTCAATTCAGAATTTCTAAAAGCATTTTGTAGTGCTTCAGAACATTTTAGAATGCTCCAAAAAAATTCGAAAACCAATTTCCAATAGCATTTTTTATTTATTTATCAACGAGCAATTATTGCCCAATTAAAAGACAAGTATAATTAACAAGTGAGAATCTTAACCTAACCTATCACCTAGAATATCAAAACATAAGAAAACAATAAACAGTAACATATTAAAAAATATATATCAATAAATTAACATAAAACATAAGGTAAATACTCGGGTAAAAACCACAAAATACTTTAAAAAAAAAAAAAAAAAAAAAAAAAAAAAAAAAACTTAAAACTTTTTTTTCTTTTTTCTTCCTTCCCCTTTTTTTTCTTTTTTTCTTCTTTTTTTCTTTTTTCTCTTCCCTAATTATAACCATTCTTTGGGACATTAAAATATCACAGAGTACAGGACTTAAGCTGGGATTTAAAAACTTTTTGATTATCAAAACAGTCCAACCTGTTAGAATACTGATTAGCAAATCTAGCCGATCTTGATAGAAAAGAATTATATCCGTAGTTAGTACGATGGTGTCCAATTTGGAACGGCTGATTTAGCCTTGTTTGTCTAGAAGGGACATGGATATTGACTTTTGCCAGTAGCTCTGGACCAAAGCTGTATGAGTGCAGTAGATTATAAAATATGGTAAGATCCTTGTGCATGCGTCTGATTTGAAGAGTAGTGATATTAAGGGAACTTTCAACCCTTGAGTAATTAATATCTTCAACTTCATGGCGTTCCTTAAATGAAATAAATCTCAAGAATTTATGTTGGACTCTCTCAATAGCCTGGATATGGACGTTGTAGTGGGGAGACCATACACAAGAACAGTAATCTAGATGAGGCCTCACAAGAGAACAGAATAATATTTTGATGGATGCTATATTAAGAAAATCTTTAGCGCACCTTTTAATAAAACCCAAGATTTGAAGTGACTTTGATACTGCCATTGAAATATGGGATATGTAAGATAAGTTGGAATCAAGGACTACACCTAGATCCTTGATTTGACATACAGATTCCAGAGGGCAACCATTTATAGTGTAGACTTGTTCTGTGGGATTCCTGCTACGACTGAAGACCATCAGATGGCACTTCTGAACATTAAGTTCCATACCATTAATTTCACACCAGTTGCTGAGACGATCTAAGTCGGCTTGCAGTTCTAGGCAATCAGCATTATTCTTGATTTTTGTGTATAGTTTTAAGTCATCTGCAAACATTAGGAAGAAGGAAAAGAGAAAAGAGGATGCAATATCATTCACATATAAATTAAAAAGAAGAGGGCCCAGGTGTGAACCCTGGGGTACGCCCGATGGTACTTTAATTTCTATTGATTGGAATCCCTGAATACGTACCATCTGTGTTCTTTCATTAAGGTAAGATGAAAGCCATTCCAGAAGGACACCCTGAATTCCCAGACTCTGCAACTTATTAATCAAAACTCTATGGTTAACCCGATCAAACGCCTTTGCAAAATCAGTGTACACAGCATGAACTTGATAACCCCCCTCCAAGGATTCCAAGAGATAGTCAGTAAATGTTAAAAGATTAAGTTCTGTGGAGCGATGAGAAATGAATCCAAACTGTTGATCGATGAAACAGCCTTTTAAACTAGCAGACAAATAATCACAAACTAGACTCTCAAACACTTTAGGGATACAACTTAATATACTGATGGGCCGATAGTTATTAACCTGTGAACTATCTCCAGACTTCAATATGGGAGTAATAAAGCTTGTTTTCCAATAGGCTGGGAATGTCCCGGTCTTTAAAGAGAGGTTAAAGATATGGAAAAGAGGTCTAGAGAACAAGAAGCTACAGTGCTTGATAAGTGATGGTGGGAGGCCATCAGGTCCTGGTCCCTTGTTAATATCCAATTTGGATAGTTTTTCATAGATAGATGAGATGGGTATGTTATATTCCGACAGATTGATGTGCCCAGAAGGCAGAATGTCCTGCAATACACAGTCTTTATCACTATAAGTTTTTGAAAAGTATCCAGCAAACAAATTGACAATCCCAACTCCAGATGAACTAGTAACACCATCATACCGCATTACAGAAGGTATATTATTTTTGGCTTTTCTGCTGTTAACAAATTTCCAGAAATTCTTTACATTATCTCTAAGAGACGATTCAGTTAAAGCAACATAACTTCGATAACATTCTTTTTTTAGGTGTTTGCAGTGAGCCCGTAACAAAGAAAACTGATTATAGTCATCTAGTGATCTGCTTTTACGATATTTTTTATGCAATTTTTTTTTTTCAATTATCGTTTGTTTTAGTTCTGGAGAAAACCAAATAGGAAACTTCCTTGCTGAATACTTTCTCAAAGGAACAAAAATATCAATAGTTAGGTAGACAATGTCGTAAAAAATATTAACCATATCCTCAAGAGATTTGTTCTTGAATAAATCATCCCAGTTAAACAGGGAAAGGAAACTTGATACTTCTTGAACATTCATCGACTTAAAATCCCTATAATAGCCATCTCCAGTCAATCCAGAGTTGTTGAAACAATTTGATTCATATTCGACCTCAAACGACAGTGGTGGATGATGAATATCTTCTGGAAGTAAGGCATTTTCTGCTATAAATATCTCAGTGTCACCATCCTGCATAAAAACCAGATCAAGTAAATTGTTGTTAACATTTCTAACTGAGTTAAGTTGATATAGGTTATGGTATGAACATAAAAATGAAAGAACTTGTACGGATTCAACTTCGTTAGGTGGAACTGCCGCCATAGGAGCAGCAACTGAAGATAATCCATCATTATGCCACTGACAGTTTGGAAGATCAAAATCTCCCAGGATACACAGTTTGTGTTCTGGATACTTTTCGGATAGATTCTCAACACTCTCACTAAACTCCACATACTTTTCAGGTGTACTTCGGGGTGGGAAATAGGC